AACTCGGGTGGTTAGATTCCAATTTCTGAATTAGCCTATCTTAGAGTGGAAAAGGGGAAATTCCATGCCTAGAGGTCAATTTGTGTCCTACCTAAAAGCTAGAAAAATGATCTCGAAAGTTTGCTTTTACCATGTTGTTAGGGTGAGGGATATAGATTTTGAAACCCCTTCTCTTGAGTCATCCCGATGGTTAATGAGTTCCCAGAATTTTTCCCCGATGATTTGCCCGATATTCCTCCCCAGCAGGAAATAGATTTTGGTATTTACCTTCTTTCGGATACGTAACCTATCTCTATTCCTAATTATAGAATAGCTCCGACAGATTTAAAAGAATTGAAAAGGCAAATAAGTGATTTGCTAGACAAGGCTTTTATCCGACTGAGTATATCACCATGGGGTACTCCCGTGTTTTTTGTTAGAAAGAAAGATGGGTCTCTTAGAATGTGCATTGATTATCGTCAATTGAATAAAGTAACCATCAAGAACAAATATCCTCTTCCGAGAATTGATGAGTTGTTTGATCAACTTCAAGGGGTTAGTTATTTCTCTAAGATTGATCTTCGTTCGGGCTATCACCAATTGAAGGTGAGAGGGGAACATATCCCAAAGACGACATTCCAAACTCGGTATGATCATTATGAATTCCTAGTGATGCCATTTGGTTTGACCAATTCTCCAGCGGCGTTCATGGACTTGATGAATAGAGTGTTTAGGCAATACCTATACATGTTTGTGATTGTGTTTATCGACAATATTTTGATCTATTCAAGGAGTGAGAATGAGCATGTGGACCATTTGAGAATTGTGTTGAAAGTTCTAAAGGACCAACAACATTTTTGCAAACTTTAGAAAGTGTGAATTTTGGTTAAGGTTCGTAGCTTTCCTTGGTCATATTGTGTCAAGCAAGGGTATTGAGGTAGATCTTAAGAACTCAATTTTTAAACTAAAATGGAGATTGAGAATTAATTTTGAGTCCTTTTTCGAAATGATTTTCACCAATGAGTTCCTAAGGCCTTGAATAATTTTTTCAAGTGTTGTTTCGGATTCAAACCTTGTTTTTGGAATTGGGTTTTGAGTTGATTGGCTCATTTTTCAAAGAAATTGATATGGGTATTGTTTTTTTAGGAAATTTATTATGAATAATTGATTGTTATAGATTGTGTGGCTTTGGACATTTGTCGGAAGGGGAAGACTTAACTCTTGGAGTGATTAATTAATTGCATTGAGGCAAGTGATCTCCTAAACCTTGTATTCTAGTAGAATTCGTATATTTCCTTCGTTGTTTGTGTATTGAGAGTAATGAGGATGAGGTGAAGGGTTAATTTTCCACTTGATAAATCTTAATGAATAAAAATGGTTGAAATGAAAAGGCTATGTGATGATCATGATGATGTGAATTGTCTTGTTGTGGCCCTTATTCATTGATTGATGAAATGTTTGATAGCATGAATGTGGACTTGAATTGTATGAATTGTATGAATTGTTGTCTTTTCCATGTGGTGTGATATTTCTTGTGTTCATTTATTGTTGAACGCATTGATGAGACATGTGAGAGTTATGCTACCGAGGTCATTGCCGGCAGGTGGTATGATGCCGAGGCATTTCCGACAAGTGTTTATGATGCCGAGGTTATTGCTTGCAAGTGCAATGATGTTGAGGTCATTTTTGGTAAGTGTTTGTGATGCCGAGGTCATTTTCTACTAGTGATTTGATATAAATTCAAAGAAAAATGGTTCTGGCTAGTGATATTGTGCCGATGAGAAATGTTTTCGGTGAGAGATTGAGTATTGTGATTTGATGCATTTTGATGCTTATGTGTGACTTGCTTGTTAATTGTGATTGATGCACTCGTTGTGTGTGATTTATCTACTTGATATTGAGGTTGACTTAGTTGATTCGTGTTGGTTATTGAATTGTGACCGTTGAACTATGATTATTGAGCCTTATGAGTTGTGTATAGTATAATTGTTATGTAGGGTTGATTTTTGTGTAGGTTGTAGTTTAAGGAGGTCTGGTTGGGATGAAAGGAGTATTCGATTTCTAGCTAGCTGCTTTTTAGTAGGTTGCTTGTTGGGTTACGTAGTTTTGATACTCACCCCTTGCTTCTACACTTGTGTAGGTTCCGAGCCCATTTCTGTGTGATCGTTCTTCTTCTCCTACTTTTCGAGGCTTGTAAAAGGACTATTGAGAGGCAGTTGCTTGTCATCTCGGCGGACCTTCTTTTCCTTTGTATTATGATTTGTTCTATTTGAGAAACAAAGACTTTAGACTATGTAATTATTTCATTTCCGTACTTTTGTATTAGAAGCTTGTACATATGACAACCAGGTTTTGGGGTGTTAATAGAAAGAATAGGTTTTTCCGCTCTTATCGTGCTCTTGCTTTATCTTTCCATTTTTCTTTCGTTTCGTTGGGTTTGAGGCTTCCTTGTCTTGGTGAAAACAGATAAGTGTCATCACGTCCATTTTTGGATTGTGACAGAACCATAGCTTCAATTTCTTTGATCCCTCATTTTCTTTTTATTCTTAATTGATATTGTTTATTTTACTATTAAATAATGTTTCAGTTATCAAATATTCGAGTTTGTCTTCTTCTCTCTCAAGAATCAATCCTTCTGTCTTTCTAACTTCTAAGCTTAAAGTCTTTCACTATCCATATTATTATCAAGGCGTGCTATCACTAAAAATATGTAATTTTAGATGTTGATCCTACCTTTCCCAAGAAGTAAATGAGGATATCCAGATTGAGATTGAGTCTCAGTCTGAGTCGGAACTTCTATAACTAGACTATTGATTATTTCGTCTAATTTACCTTCTTCTTACTCATTCAAATTATCATAATATTCATATTATCTTTCCATTAGTTAGTAATCTAGTGACTCATTAGAATTATGATAAAAATGGATGATTTGGCTCATACGGGTTTATTAGTATGAGTAATTCTTTATTGACTTGTAAAAAATTACAAATAATAAAATGAAATAGCTTAACTAAATTTAAGGGTTTGAAATATTATAGGACACACTCAACATCTTCTACTAAGGTTCCTTAAGGTATCATTAGAGGTAACACATACTCATAGTTATATCATACTTCTTATTTCAAATCATGCCTTTTCGTACAAAGCATACTCAAGCTTTTCAAAGGCATTGTAGTTACTCCCTGTCCAAAGTTAGATTTGGTCACATAAAAAGAATAGTAAGATTCATTATCCACAGAAAAGCAAATCAAAGACAATTCATCTTCAGAAAAAAAAAAATTGGAACATGATTTTGGAAAAAACAAAAGGATAAAAATTGAAATTTAACAAAACAATACTTCATAAATAAAAAAAAATAGATGAAGTTACAAAACAAGCAAAATAAGGCAGAATTTTATTTACCTTTGCTTGCAATGATCTGAGCTTAATAAAGATTTGTGTCTGATTCGTCAAAATTTAAGGGTGATTAAATTAGAATTTTTTTATGTGCTTGTCTGATAGGAAAGATCATTATAAATTTGGTGGGAGAGAATCCTTTTTTCTGTTGGAAGTTATTTACTTTTTTGTTTGATGCTTATAAAATGGGAAAATACGTGTCAAAAATATTGAGCAAAATGCTCCTTGGAGGGAATTTACTTCAAAAATGAATAAGGGTATTAGATGGCTCAATAAAGTTAATTGTATTATAAGTGATTTATTTGGACTATTACATCGTGCAATCTTTGTATTTTTCCTAGGGATGGATGTTTGGTATTCAATTCAAAATTTACAAGTTAGGTTCTTATATTTCACTAATCAATAATTGAAAGTAGATATTAAATACTAAATTTGCAAAGTTTAATCCAGTATGATAATTTAGTAATTACTTACTGAAGGAAGAGATATTTGACAAAATATGTGCATAATTTGTCCAACATATGCCATATTAACTTTTAGAGAAATTAATATAGAGGTTAGATATGCACTCTCAAATCATAACATTATTGATTTGTTGTTGCAAGCCAATCAAGATCAATATTTTAAAAGGTACGGGTGCGAGACAAGTCGTTTAACCTGATATGAGGTGAAGCGTAAGTATGATGAATCTTTAATTTTTTTCATATTTTATAAATTAATATAATAAAATATTAAATATTAAATTACGTAGAAATTTGAAGAAAATATAAAATAAATGCAAATGTATATAGAAATTTCAAAAATAAATAAATATATAAAATAAGTGTAAATGTATATAGAAGTGCTTTATCTTAAAACGTTAATTAACTTCACTAAAATAAATAATCAGAATTACTCATCTATAAACAATACTCTGACTTCTTAAAAAAATTAAGTAGAAGAAACTGCATCAGAAGAATCAAATCAGAGTAAATAATGAATAATGATACATTTTTACTTTGTAATTTGCATGTTGATCATTTTTCCTTTTTATCTGGTGAAAGACAGAGAGAAACAATAAAAATTAAGGCTAAGAACAAAAAATTTAGATTTTTATGTTTGTTAACTTTTAAATTTTCAATGACAAGTTGAATTGTAATTTTCTTATTAATTTATATTTGGCAATTCTAATTTAATTAGAAAAAATTTTCTGGGCTTACACTCCAAAATAAAAGCACGTCGTATATACATAAACATGTGTCCAAATTGACGGGACTTATGTCTCACAACACTTTCGCCCGCACAAATTATTGTTGTGGATTTTTACTACACTTCGTCTCAAGGATCACCCCAAAAATGTCTTTTAAAACACTGATCAAGACATATAAATCACTCATTAATGTTACCCATATATGATAAACAAAACATATCCACCAACTTAAAAATAAATAAGGAAAAAGTAAAAAAAATCTTAAATCATATAAAATTGAACAAAATTATTCTCTTTTAATAGTTTGATAAATGTCCTTATTATTACTTATAGACATTTCTAGATCAAACTTTAAAAATTTGAATATTTAGAGGATTAAAGGTGTCCCATTGCATAATTTATTGGAGAATATTATTGGTGTTACTTAGTTGCCCCTCACCAATTTCACCTTTTTCTACCTCACCTTAAAAATAAAAAAATAAAAAGAAGAAGAGGGTTTTATTAATTTGTTGGGAGTACAACCATTTTTTGAAGTAATGAGACATCATATTCTTTCCTTAAAACATAATTCATTTGAAATTTTGATTGTTCGGCGAAATTTTCTAAGTAACAAATTGACATTCACCTTCATTTTCCTCCATAGCTATTTGAAATCTTTGTGCGTTTTTTTTCCACTTTACGCAATCTCAGGTGAATATTGGTCCTTTTCTCCTATCTTACAAAATTCTTGATTGGATTCATTTTTGCTTGTTAATCAAAGTTTTAGTTTGTATAAATAGTTGTTCTTCACAGTTTAATTTGTTGGGTTTTTCTTGCAGATGCTTTTCTGGTTCTGCTGGGATTCATTTAGCATTTGATTGTTATTCCTTGCCATTGTTTGTTTTCTCAAGACGAGGGCTTTCTGGGAAAGTTTATTAGATCATTGCAGCTGAATTAGGTATGTTTTCGGTTTTTCGAATTTTCTGTTAACTAAACCATGAAATCTTGAATTTACATATTTAACATTTATGGAGTAGATGGAGCTACAATTTCATTAGTGTAAAGTTATGAGCTTTCAATTATGAGAAATTTATGAGCTTGCAATGAGGTTTCTTATTTCTTTAGGGAACAAATGGTTAATTCAATCAATTACCTACCCTCTAATCCTTCGTTAGTTGGGGTTTGCTATATAAATCCTATGTATTTCTGTTCGCTCCGGTTGATATAGGGAGCATTTCTCTCCACGAGCCCGTCCATTAAATTAAATGTTCTAGAGGATTTATTAAAGTTCCTACAGAGGAAAGTAGAATCACTACCAAAATATTTACTTTATCAAGCACCAACAATTTCGTTCTACGAAAATCTTTCGCCAGTTGATCGAAGTAGATAGCTTCCATGTGTTTCTACATTTCTCATATTCTAGGCACTTAGCTTGGTTTCCCTCAAATCAAGTGATGCGGTTAGAAAAGAGAAGTAGGGCCCCTACTGACTAAAACTTGGACTAGTTTCGGTGTGTTCCTTGAAAGTAGCTGAAATTAGGTAATCAATATGAATTTCCTTAAATGGACTCTTCTTTCTTAATTATCTTCTTAGGAGTAGGAAATGTCATTAGAGCTAAAGATAGATGGCAAATAATAGTTTATTTTGAAAGCAACAGTATTATTACCTCTATAAGTTGTAGGATGGACTCATAGATCTTGGAACATATATGACGGCAAGGCCTAAGCATTAAACTATGTGTAATGTGAATCCCCCCTTTTTACCGTACAATGTATTCTCACCCCGTCAACCTACCCCAATCCTCCTCCTTAATCGGGGACTTTGGCCAAGTGTTCAAGGCTCATGTAGGTGAAGTTAATTCTCTTGTTGAGGCTTTGGATCTTGCATTTAATTCTAGATCATTTTCATCAGAGGTTAGGTTGAATCAGATTCTAATTCAAATAAAGCTCTTTGTCCACATAATCTTTCTGGACTTCTTAAAGCTGGCGTGAAGTTGCTACCCACTGTTATGTATATTCTAGTTAGCTTGGTGTTAGACTACCATTTGCTTAAAACACTTCTGGAATGAGAACATGTGTCCTAAATAGCAGTTAGGCCAAATATGTCTGTAATCAAAAGATAAATTTATTTTAATGGTTAAAGTGGAAAGGAGAATAGAACAAATATAACAGTACATAGTTGTTACTAGAATTGTCTGGATTTGAACGTTGTTCGCATGCTTCCGGATGCTTCCAAAACCAGTTGTCAATATTGGTAATATGTGTCTAATGAGCGGTGGCCTCTGAGACGTGTACGCATATTACTCTGCATGAATAGAGTGCATCAGTAGCTACTTGAATATAAATATGGGTCATTGCCTGCAAATTATCTATCTTCAAGATATAGTGAGTGAGGAAACAACTTAGTGGTCATTTAGAGGGGAGTCTGAGGTTTTCCGGGAGATCAAAGATTTCAAGATGTTTGGTAAGCAACTCTTTTGCTGAGCTATCCACTTCCATGTAAGGTGAATTGGTTGAACTGTGATTTGCAGTTTTCTCATTTGAGCTTAATGTGTGGTAACTCAGGTATGGCTGTGGTACATTTATGCCAAGTTGGTAAAGGAAAACGAGCCTTCGAAAGATTTTCTCAATATAAAATTTCCAATTTCTTGCTTTTATATGAATCAAACCACTTTTGTTAGTGTTAATGATATCAAACATTTCATGGCGACCGAAAGTAGTTTCTCCCCCAATTGGACATAATAATTGATCCTTTTGTCTGGTATGCATGATCGTGTTGGATCAGGATCGAATTTGTGACTTGGAAAAACAGTACCTGGTTGCTTTTATTCATGCTCGTTTTTGCATCAAAAAAACCACATCTGTGCTCTGAGGCTTCCTTTTTGCCGCAAACAAAGCTATTACATTTGGTTAAATTCATTTTATACAGTTTAAAACTAATGATAAAATTCTTTCATGCACTTATCTAGATTGATGACTATTGTTTAAAGTGTAGTTTCTTTCTCAAAGATGTCTTCTCTTGTTGTCTATATCCTGATGTTTCCTTTGCTTCGGGTATTGTATTATTTGCTATTGATACTGTTATTTTCTCAATTATTTTTACTACGGCTTCTTCAGTATTGTCTTCCCTTTTAATACCTGCTTTGAAATTAAATTGTGCGGATTCTTCACTTTCGATGCCGCAACCAAGTCGGATGCTCCAAAAATACACTTTTTTTGGAGAGTCTGACACACTCGCTGACTTTTTTGAACAGTCCGAGCAACATAGCTTTGAAATGTTTTACTTGAGACGAGGGTCAATTGGAAGCAACCTCTCTACTTTCACAAAGTAGGGGTAAGGTCAGCATACACACCACCCTCCCCAGACCCCACTTGTGAGATAACAGTAGGTATGCTGTTTTGTTGGTGTTTTCTTCTAGTCATTCTTTTTGTTGCTACTCCTTGTGTCCCTTTTTTTCCTTCTTCCTTTTCCTTTACTTCCATTGTTTGTTTTGGATTTTCCCAGATGTAGTCCACTTTCAAATTGATACTGTTCATAAGTATAATCTTTGAACCTCTGAATTTAAGCCGAGGGTCTATCGGAAACAACCTCTCTACCTCGCAAAGGTAGGGGTAAGATCTGCATACATCTTACCCTCCCCAGATCCCACTTGTGGGACTGCACTGGGTATGTTGTTGTTGAACCTCTGAATTAGAACGAGCACCAAAAAGTAACTGTCAAGTTGACCCAAGGGTTTAGTCGAAGTGGCAAAGGGTGAGGGACTTGTGACTAAGGTCATGGTTTTGAGTCCTGCGTCATGCCAATTAAACCTAGTATATAGGTTTGGAAGGGTAGAGAGTGCCCCTTTATTACCGAGTTTCGAAGGCTATAAGGGTTGGCCCGAACAGATTTATTGGTCATCCAAAGAAAGCGGTATCTACCAAGTGAAGAATGCTAATTAAAATAGAGGAAATTATTTGTCCTAATTTTCTGGATGGGATTGGTAGTGTCATCAGAATGTCTTTTGTTCTTTTCTTTCCAACTATCTACCATATACAAGTAGGAGTGATCTTCCACCAGTACTCCTCACTATTTCCTCTCCCCACATTTCTCCGGCTGCTCAGAAGTGTCACTATGGAACTGAACATAGCTCAATTTATCCATAATATACAAAAGAACATGTGCCACAAATTTATAGTTGTCTTACAATGTAGAAAATGGTGCTCATTAGTTACACTTTCCTGACCACATAGTAGGCGCATTGAACAAATTTGAAGACCTCTTCTCAGTAACTTTTCTTGAGTGGCATGCTTTCCTGACAACCAACCACTCAAATCAAGAAACCCTTACTGAAATTTTGACTCTCCAAATAAGCTTTCAGGACCAGAGCACATTTTGATGAGTTCTATGATTCAAATTTCAGTACAGACTTCATTGTGAATTTCCATCTGCTATTTGACCTTCATTTAAACTTTTCTGGAAACTTAGTAGTGCCACCAAAAGTGGTCAGTTGCTGAAGCAGAAAGGTAAAGCCCTCAATTTCCCAATCATTTAAAGCTCCTTTGAAGATCAATTCTCAACCATGTTGATTCCAAATATGGTTTATCTACCATGGTTTTGAAGGATAATTGAGTATATATTAGGAAAGGTGGACTTTAAGCTATTAGTCTAATCGAGTGGTCCTCTCCAAAATTTAGTGTTTCTTCGGCCCGGACACCACGGTCATCAGAAAACAAATTGTGTTTCTTCTATTACCCACTTTGATCTCCACACTTCCCCAGAATTCACGCTACTGATTCCTAATGGTTTTTCCGGACACTACTACCATGGGAGCTTCATTTGTAATCAACTCATTATTCATTCCATATTACTGTGCGACAAAGTGTCTCCATAATGTCATCTCTGTTTAAAACCTCCATAACCACTTTTGTAAAAGACTTTTATTGTGTAATCTCAGAAGCTTTATTCCCCTACAACCTTGCTTCTTGCTAAGAGTTAGGACTTCCCATTTCACCAGACTGACTGATGCTTCTGTTTTCCGTGTTACTCCTTAGCTTGTCTAACTTCTTTTCTACCCCCCTAGGAATTGGGAAGACAACTATCATACAATTGGGAAGAGCCTCCAATACTGAGTCAATTAGTATCAATCTTCTCCCTAAGGATAAATATTGAGCTTTTCACCTTGCCAGCTTCTTGTCACATCTCTCAATAACCTCATTCCAGCTATCCACTGATTTTCTCTTTGCCCCCAAAGGTATCCCTAAGTACTTTGTTGGAAGAGTTCCCACCTGACAACCTAGATTCTTTGCAAAACTCTGTAGATTTATTACTTGGTTTACTTGATATAAAGACCTTTTGTTCCAGTTAACCCTTGAGCCAGAAAGAGCTTAAAAAATAGACAAGATTTCCCTAAGGTGTCTGATCTGATCCACTTCAGCTTCACAAAACACAAGAGAATCATCTGCATATAACAAATGAGAAGTTTCACCAGCAACACCAACTTCTGTTAGGACTCCAAAGCCTCTAATCCAGCCATTAGACTTAGCTGTCCTAATCATTTGATTTAGGCCCTTCATTGCTCGAAGAAATTGAAAAGGTGACATTGGGTCACCTTGTCTAAGCCTCCTTTGAGATTGGAAGAAACGTACAGGATTACCATTCATCAAAACAGAGAATTCAATACTGGAATTGCAAAACTTTATCCATTTAATCCCATTTATCACCAAATCCGATATCCTTGAGTATTTTCAAAAGAAACCCCCAATTAACATGGTCATAGAGTTTTTCAGTATCCAACTCGCATAGAACCCCTGACTTATCAGATTTAGTTCTAGATCCCCCAACTCATTTGCCAGAACAACATTTCATAATCTGTCTTCCCCTCAGAAAGGCCATTTGATGAGCATCAACTAATTTTCCCCTTACTGTGTTCAATCTCTCTGTAATGACTTTAGATTCTAATCTTGTTCACTCCACCTATTAAGCTTATTGGTCTGAAATCTTTTAACTCTTCTGCATAATTTTTCCTTGGAATCAGAGCAATAAAAGTAGCATCGAAATGTTTCTCAAAGAACTTATTTTGGTGAAATTTGTGAATTGTTTGCATCAAGTCTTCTCTGAGTGTTTCGCAACATTCTCTGAAAACCCCCATTGTGAATCCATCTGGACTAGGTGCCTTGTCCACTTTTGGAGTATAGTAAAGAAAATATTATATATTTATTTGCTAAGGTACAACTAGAACCCATATATCGCAACATGTCAAATCAAATTTACTTGCAGTTTGCAGCTTTGACCATGACAGCTTATGCATTTTACTAGAAATTTAGGAGATTTCCGGTATGTTCTTCAAGTGTATTGAAGATTTGACCCTCGGTATGTTAGCAAAGTTGATATATTAGAGTGAACAAAACCTTGGGTCAGGATGGATTTTTCGATTAAGAGATAAGAAGCTTTGGCTTAATACCTAAATAACGAGGTGCACTGTAATGCTTACTTTTGATGACTTATTATGACAAATTGATGATGGTAGCTTTCTCCGCCTATTCTGTTGTTTTGTTTTGTTTGGATTTTGGGTGGGGGATAAACTGGTGGGAAATTTTCTATTTTCTTAATGAGGTAATTTTTTATATAACACCAAAGTCAAGTGATTGCTGGTGTTTTTGAACAGTTGCAACCAAAAAATTAGTCCTCACTGACTATGCAAATAGCTAATGAAATAGAGCACTGCCTCTACATTTATGTAGAATTGTGAAAATATGAATATTAATAGATCTCCCCTATATCTTTGTGATCTAAAGGGTGTGCTCAATACTGGTCATGAAACAGTTACCTACTCGTCTCTTCAATAGAAGTAGTTCCTTTTTAGGATTAGAGAATGGTGCTTTTGGAGAAAGGAGGTCAAGTTTAACTTTCTTCATTGTAGTTACCCTATATCTTAAAGAAAGACCATTTAAAAGGGAAAAATGCCTATTCAGTGCAGGGATGTTGGAAATGGGAGGTCGACTACACCTACCCTACCCTTTTGTTTCTTTTGATAGCTACAGTGTCTGAGTTGTCTTGTGCACACCTCAACTATTCTATTAGGTACCTGCAACCTCTCACCAACACAGGTACCGGATAAATCTAGCTACACATAATCTACTTTGACTGGGTGAAAGTGCCTTCCAAAAAATGATATCGAAGATCTAGTCCACCTCCCTAGGGACCTAATGAGAATCTCTTTCTAGGTTGTTACTGATTCCTACTCAGATTTCAGGTTCCATATCTCATACTTGTTTCATGATAATATTCTGTAGCTTTAATTATATACTAATACCAACCACCAGATAAACCTCAACCTAACGAGACTATGCATAATTAATGCTCTGATAGAAGTTCCTACCATTCCTTTTGCAGGCCTAGTTTCCTTTCATATTGTAAGATTACTCCTTCAATGATCACTATTTGTTCCAATGTTGACATGGTTGCCCACCTTTTTGCTTAGCGGTGAGGAGGAATGAAAATGGTTCGGTTATGGTTTTTATGTAGAGTATTGTTAGCGAACCTGCTAAAGTATGGGTAGTGATGGTACTTAGCTCACTGCTAAGTGTGTAGGGTTGGGAACTCAGTCACGCTTGGATTAGTCCCCTAAACAGAGAGTCAAGCCTGAGTCTGGTTTTCCAGGATCTACTTAGTTAATTCTATTAATAGATGTCACCATGTTATGGAAAAAGATAGTGCCATTGCCAATCTCAATAATGAGGTCAGATGGGTGTTAATCGTCTATATAATTTCTGGATTCAACAAACTTGTTGTGAGGTCTATATTTTATTTAGTATAAGTTGGTGTACAAAAATATAGTGGAATAAGCTCGATGAAACATCTTAGTCCAGCACAGGCTATTAGCATTAACTAATTTTTAAAGTGTAACAGGGAATATAATTTTGCTCCAATTTATCTGATTTAATATATATCTACACATTTTAACTAAGTCTACTTTAAGATAATGTAATCCAAATTATTAATGTCATTCAATAGAAATTCTCATTTTCCATTATCTTTTTGGTATTAAAATTCATTTCTTCTACTGTTTTCATTTAACCACATCTGAAACTTAGCTGAATTTGTTATTTTATATTTGTTCCTGGATTTGGCGATGAAATTATAGTGTTCTCAAAAAGAAATCAACTTATTAGTCTTTAATCCGTAATTAATTTAGTTCTTAACTTGATCTTATTCGATTAGAGAGTAATCCAGTGTCGTGGAGCTTGAGCCCGCAGAACTTTGTCCTCTCAAATTGCAATTATCACTGAATAGACGATTGTCTTCCATCTCACGTATGTATATCTGACATTTTTTTTTTATGACAAGGGAAACCCGCAGCCGCTACCCTTTGGGTGCGCACAGGGTAAAACCCTCGCTCCTATGCAATAGCTCGCAAACCATATAGGAGAGGTAACCTGCACTAGGCAAGCCCGGTACAATGAGCTCGACCCAGAAGGCAAACCCCTTGCTTTCGCTGGCAAGGGGTTTCGAACTTGAGACCTCCAACATGGAAGTCTCAAGCCCAAACCACTGGGCCACCCTTTCCTACTATATTTCACTTAAATTTGTTTTTCTCATCAGTTCTGCTTAAGATATTTGTATTGTTAATATCATGATATTTGATCTAAGTTGCAGACATCATTTATCATTTGGTGAGTTTATCTTATGAGCAATACGGATTCTATTTTAGCACTTCTATGTATACCTGCTTTAATAATTGGAGAGACGACATACAAATAGCTTGTGATAATATAGTATTTTGATTCATAAAGACCCTTATGAGTCATGGCCATGTCCTAATTGTCCCGCCAGTGGAATATGCGCATCTAAGAGATTTCTCATGCAGTGCCTTAACCCGGAATTGGTTCTATTTCTTGTTTACAATAGGATATGTGTTATTTTCAGGTTAACTTGGGAAAGTTTTATCTGCTCAAAACTTTCATCTTATTAGCTAGATCGTGCTGTTTGTTTTTGAAGCAAGATGAACCACCCTCATCCATATGGTGACGATCATGTAAGTCATAAATTCTTGTAGTAACTGATAGGTGATAGCTCTGGCATGTTTTTTGACTTAGCCTAAATCTAAGTTATGCACACAGGATGAACCCACTGTCATGGGCTTTGAAGTTCCAAGATCACCCGATGCAAGTTACAACAATGTGTATCCTGGGCATTTAGATGAAGGAAGGGAACCACCGATGGTACCGCCACATTTGCATCACACTTTGCTAAACCACCCAGCAACAAGAGATGAATCAACCTCCCTCCCGTTGCCACAGAACGCGGTGCTAAACCATCTGTATATTGAGAACGGAGAAGTCCCGAGGTCAGTTGTAGCACTTGGTGTAACACACCGTTTTCGCTCAAAATATGTTACGGTCGTGCTTTACAAACCTGTCCAAAGAAGATGAGGTAGCATAGCAGGCATGCCTGAACGTACACACCATCTTTGGCTTGTGGTCTGATGATAGGAGAGGTAAATACACAGCAAGTTCTGCAGTGGAGAATGTTTATTTCTTCCCAGCTACTAGTAGTAGGAAAATATGGTATCAGGTACCCTTGGACTTGAATAATTGAAGTTAGATGTTCAATAGTTTTAAAAAGTTATGTATTTTGGCAAAAAGTTAGTGATGTCCCTGTTTGTTTGCCTTGACAATTATGTTTTTGAGTAGCTCTTCAATGTTGACGTGTGTGAAAATCTGTTAAACACCTTGTTAGATTTAAGCCAAGTTCACTACATCTAATATGGCAGAAAGTTAGTGATGTCCCTATTAGCAATTCTGGTTGATTGATATATTAAGAGATGACTATCATAAAATTGCAGCATATGCCCTTTTTGAAGCCACTCTTTAAAACTTGCAACTCTTTTGGAAAGTTGTGCAAATGTTTCCTTCTGCTCGCAATACAATGTTAAAAGTCCTACAAGGGACGAGTGGTGTTGTTACATGGTCTTGGGTAATCTCTTCCTCTTGAGGTAGCTAAAAGTTCATTTCTTTACATGATATTAGAGTAGGATTCAACCCAATTTTATTTACGGATGTTGGATCCCCATATTAAATTGCCCACGCTTCATGAAGTGTTGTAAAGTCTCACATTGGATTAAAAAGGGATGATCTTGAGCAATCCTCTCTTCTTTAACTAGCTTTTTAGAACGAGTTGAGTTAGACTTAAGATTCCTTTCTTTACGATATATACATGCCTACTTGAGTTCAAGGTCGAAACATCATATCACAAAAGGCCATACAGTTTCCTTAAAGCAACAAAGTTTAATTGTATATCGTCAATAGAGTTTAAAAAAAAAAAGATTTTTCAATCTTGTGATCCTAAATTAAATTTATATCAAATGTATCAAAATGCCTTTTAATTTTGTGATCTTAAACATGTTATGTGGAAAGTTGAAATTAAAGAGTTACCAAAAAAAGAAAAGGAGTCGTTCTTTTTCAAACACAATAAAAAGGAAAGTAGGTCATTCTTTTTTAACTGAAAGGAACAACATTTTGTACCTCCCGTGTCCGAGCATAATTTCAGTGGCTACACTCGTAGATTAGGCTGACAAAAGTAAAGGATGCCCTAAAAAGTATGAGGATTACAAGATATTATGATTGTTATAAACATATTTGTATTATAGTGAATGTCTATTATGTGAAATTCTTTGAAAAAAAGTAAGGGATCTACTTGGGGATCAAGTCAATTTTCCCTTATAAATAAATGAGTTTTCCTTCCTCCTAATTGATTTGTGAATATACTTCAATCCCTGAATATCATTCAAGAGGAATAAGAAGTCTTCTCTCTTCTCCCTACTTTATTCTTCTTACCATAACAATGATTTAGATATTAATTTTTTAAGGGTGTACAAAGAAAATTAAAAAATTCTGCTTATTTTATGTAGTTCCATAACAATGATTTAGATATTAATTTTTTAAGTATGTACAAAGAAAATTTTAAAAACTGCACCAAACTAATAATTCTAATCACATCGAAAAGAAGATTTAACCAGTGGTTTGATTTAGTTTGGGGTTAGGGATTTTTTTTTTTATCATAGTTGATTTAGTTTGATTTTAACTAAAAAAAAATAATCAAATTGAACTAACGAATTCAACTTACATGTATGTAATTTTTATACATATTTTATACTTCAAATATTTATTGTAATATACTTTATAAATATTTCTTAAATTATTTCAAGTGTGGATTTAGAATTTAAATGGTCCACTCAAGAGTATGAGTAGCTAAAAAAGGGAACAAAAGGGAGATGTAATCTGGATCGTAGAATAAGGTAAAATGGACGGTTGTGATCAAATTTGGGCATGGGTCGGATTGATGGGTCACAGGATGGGTCATCCGGATTGAATTAATTGGGAAATGATTTGCAATTTTAAAATTGAATCAATATTGGCTAGAATTGACATAGATAGAAATTGGGTAGAATTTAAATAAATTAACCAATAGCAAACATAAAAGTCATATTAGCGCTTTATAGCTACACTTTTGCTATTTGCACTCCATAGCAAACATAGTTTGCTATGGAGCATCTGATTTGTATAAATCGCAGACATTTGATTTGTATAAATCGCATCAATTAGTATAAATTGGGCGTCCGTGTCAATGAAAATTGTGTTTGTATATGTATATGTTCTTTGTATTAGGCTAGAGCGGAGAGTGAGATTAGGAGAGAGGGGATAGAGGCGAACGAAATAGGGCAGAGAGTAGAGAGAGGTGAATTGTATATGTATATCGGTTAGATAATTGTTTATATATAACTACTTTGTATATGTATCAATGATTGTTTTTGTATATCTGCATAAAATTTGAATTGTATACAATTGAATCGAGTTAAAACATTTGTATTTGTATGTCAAATCTCTCTCTCGCTTTATACAAACACAAATTGTACATTGTATTTGTATAATTTGTGTTTGTATAAAGTGAGAGAGAGAGAGAAAGGCAAACGAGAACTGGGCAAGAGAAGATTTGTATATGTATAATTATAAGTGTATAGGACGGAGAGAAATGTATTTGCATATATAGTCTCTCGCTTTATACAAACACAAACACAATTTATATATTTATGTTTGTATAAAAGTGAGAGAGGCGAACGAGATTCATGGGAGAGAGGCAAGAATGACAATATGCTTGCTACGAATTAAAATTAAATGGAACTATAGCTATAACAATTATTTTGAATTAATGGTTTGCTATAATGCACAATTTTCCCTAGTTTTTAATATGCACATGGGTTATACTCGAGTTGGTTTGATTTTAACTTTAAAATTGGCCATGGGTTATACTCGAGCTGCAAATACTAAAATTGGCCGAGACAAAATTTTTAGGAACAGTATATTAGTATTTGTAGACGCATATTCGTAATATAAATTGATGATTTAGTATTTTAGAGTTTTTAAAAATTAATTTATTAAATTTTAAAATAATATAATATTTATTAAATTTTACTAACTTCTTTTATATATTCGTGTATCTAGATTTCAAATTTTTTGTTTTTTTAGTGTTGTTATTATTGTCATTTAGTATTTAACTCTTTTTTAACATTAGTATTGATCTGATTTTGATTTGAGCTTCATTAGAGTTGCTAAAATCTATTAACTATAACATTTATTGAATCATTCAAAATTCTAAGTCAAGCTTGAAATAATATATTAAAAGATAAAAACCTTTAAAAGTATAAGAAATATTTGTAAATTATATCAAAGTAAATACTTTCATATTATAAGAATTTTTAAAAAAATTATATATTTAATGTTGAATTGATTTGACCTCGATTTGGTTTTTTAAAGTTAAAATCAAACCAACTCGAGTATAGTTTTAAAAAAAAATTCAATATCAACTAAGCTAAACCAATCACTAGTTTTTTTTTTTTACTTGATTTACAATTTGATATATTTTGGATTTGATTTTGTTCGTTCATCAACTCAATTTCAAAATAGGCTAAAGTCTGCTCTGCAAGTGCAAGTGATGCCATATTTGTCATTTATTCTCTATTAACTTCCCATGTATCCCGCAATATCTTGCTATTCAATTGTTGAGTTCTTTATGATATATTTTCCGTCCAAGCATTGACTTATTATTAAAATACAATTAAATAAGAAAAGGAGCCCTTGCTATTTTTAAAAATAAATAATAATGGAATCAGTAGCTGGCCCCATTATTCACGTCTTCCCTTTTCATTTTCTTTTTAATTTTTAAGTGTGTTTGGTAATAAAGGAAATATTTTTTGAAAAATGTTTTCTAAATTTTTCATGTTTGGTTGACTTATATATTTTGAAAAATATTTTTCAAATCAATTTATTTTTCTCAAATTTAAGAAAAATTACTTACCTCAAAAAAGTAAGAAAAACATTTTCCGAAATTCTTTTTCAACCTCACACTTCAACTTTCCGTCCTAACTCAAGTCTCCAATAATAATTTTCAATATTAATCCGAGATCCAACTCTTGATCCTCAATTCGAGATTCGACCCTTGATCTCAATTCGAGACCCAACTCTAGGGTCTCGAGTTGAATCGGGTCAAATCCCTGAAAGTCAAGAAGGGGGTGGGGGTGGGGGGGTGAATTAAAAATTCCTCTAGTTGACATTTTGTATGGGATAGTCGACTCACCTACATATTAGTATATATATATATATATATATATATATATAACAATATAAGGTAAAGATAAAATCAGTAAGTAAAAGACTCAGAAAGTTTTTATATTTGTTCGAAACACCGGTGTGGTGCCTACTTCCAGTCCCCTTGGGTTTCAAGGGTTTCCTTAAGAGCTTGTTGAGAACTTGGATAGTACAAAGTATTTCGACTAAGAACCCTGTCTTATGTGCAAATAAGATTTTCTACTTTGACACAACCTCTACTCGTATAACCTACATTCATATCTTTTTTTTTTTTTTTTTTTCAATTGTATGCTCAAGAGAATACAATGCTTTTATGAAAGACAATAGAAGACAATAGTACAACTTCAAGTGAAGTGCATGATCTTCTATGATTCTAAGGTTGGCTTAAATAGGTGAGGTTCCTTTACTCTTCTTTAGGAAAACCCAAAAGAATTCATTCAATCAAGGATTTGTAGGGATTTCTTGATTGAGGCTGATTTGAAGAATATTATGATCATGTCCATATTAGATATGTTCGAGATGTCCTTCCTTCTCTGGTGAAGCGTCTTCCTTCCCGGATTCCTTAAATCATGTGTTATTGCTTATTAGTTAACCTTGATATCTTACGATCCAGCTTTGTCAGTGTCGGTATACCTTGATTGCTAGAGATTCGTCAAGCAAATCTAGATTTTGGAGTATCTCTTGCTTTCCTTCCTTCTGATTCTTTTCACTCAATTGAACCCTGAGGGATTCGATTATGTTGTTGTATAGATTTCGTCTGGTTCTGCACTTGAAAGTATATTTATTGTTATTGATCAAAATCCATGAACATTTAAGAGGCTAACAATCCCGAATCGGGTGTCATCAAGATCAGATGTCATTGTCAGTGTTAGGTGTCCAAAGTTGAATCTTGGGAGGGGTGTCGGGTTGGCTCTTGATTCGAAAGTCAGGATTAGGTCTTGGATCTGATCTCGGGGTCAGATTCTGAATCAGTCATCGGGAACATGTTTCGGTTAGAATATCGAGATCGGATCACAATTCGAATGTTGGGTCCTAGATCGGGTGTTGGGCTTGAGACTCGAATTGATCATAGGATGGTTCATTTGTTGGAATCGGATCTCGAATCCGTTATTGAGG